TTTGCATGTAGCGACCCAGTTTTCCCAGCACCATTTATTGAACGTTTCTTTGCTCCAATGCATATTCTTTGTTCCTTTGTCAAAGATTAGTTGACCATAAATCTGTGGTTTTATTTCTGGATTTTCTATTCGATTCCATTGGTCAGTGTGTCTGTTATTTTACAATACCATGCAGTTTTGATGATTATGGCTTTGCAGTATAGTTTGAAGTCTGGGAGTGTGAAGCCTCCATTCCCTTTTTTTTCAGAAGAGCTTTGGTTATTTGGGGTTTTTGGTGGTTCCATATGAATTTCATCAATAATTGTTCTATTTCTTTGAAGAATAGGGGACCTCTTTTTTCATTCTGTCATCAATATTTATGAATTATAAAACCCATGAAATGCTCTGAAAACTAAATAATAAGGGTAGAATTTTGTACAATTTGGGGAAATTGGTCCAGCAATTTGGAAAGTAAGATATCCATGCAATCCTGAAATCTCCATGATTAAAACATCTCTTTACCATGAAAGTTTTTTGGAAACATTCTCTAAGGATTTTACTACAGGACTAAAGTTATAGCTATGATAGTGTTGAGCTTATATAACACAGGACTTAAAATTATAAAATGTTAGTATTTAGTTTTTAAAAATAAATCATTCTACTTTAGTAGTTGAAATAAGGATTTTAGGATAATCTCAACTGTATGTGCCAAAGTTAATTTATTTAAAGTTACAGATGTATTACAGATTATTCAAAGTTACAGATCTAGATGTATTCTAGATCATCTAGGATTTTAGCTAGATGATAGATAGATCTATCAATTGATTGAGGTACAGAGAGTTCTAAAATGAAAAGCAAGTTTTTTAAAATTAATTTTTGGTCAATATTGATTCTTTCCCATCAGATGTGGCCACAGTAGTTCTCCTACACCAAAGTATCCCATAGTCCATGACCATGTCCCCTTGTGGTCTTCCCCATTTTTTTACCTTTTCCTCCCCTGCCCTCTCCCCATGGATACCTCGTATTTATGTTCATCTTTCAAGGTTTGTCTTGTTTGACTCTGTTTTTTTCTGTATTCCACATACAGGTGAAATCATGCAATATTTATGTTTTTTCTTCAGACTTATTCTACCCTCCAGCTCCATCCATGTACCACAAATGGTATCTTTTTTGATCACTGAGTAGTATTCTGTTGCTGTATATACCACATCTTCTTGACCAATCATCTGTTTTGGGGCATTTAGGTTGTTTCCATATCTTGGATATTATAAGCAGTGCTGCAGTAAACATAGGGGTGCAGGTTTCCTTTTAAATTAGTACTTTTGTGCCTTTGGATAGATTCCTAGGAGTGGAATTGCTGGGTCATATGGTAGATCCATTTTTAGTAGCTTGAGGCACCTCCACACAGCTTTCTAGAGTGGCTGGACTGGTTTACATTTTCACCAGCAGTGTAGGAGAGTTCCTTTTTCTCCATATCCTCACCAGCTCTTCTTATTTCTGATGGTTTTAACATGGGCCATTCTCACAGGTGTGAGGTGAAATCTCATTGTGGTTTTGATTTACATTTCCACGATAACAAGTGATGATGAACATTTTTTCATATGACTGTTGGCCATTTGCCTTACTTCTTTGGAGAAGTATCTCTTCTGCCCTTTTTTTTGACTGGGTTGTTTAATCTGTTTTTGTTGAGTTGTGTGAGCTCTTTGTAGATTTTCAGCATCAGCTCATCCTCAATTGCATGGTGTGCAAATATTTTCTCCCATTCAGTGGGGATATTATGGAAAACAGGGTATTGAACTCTATCACATGTGTTTTCCATAATATCTGCTTTCAGATTCAAAAGTAATTGTCTAAATTATTTGAGTGCACTTTCATTTGGTGAGTATATATTCAGGAGTGTTATGTTTTCCTGATGTATTATCCCCTTAATCATTACATAATGTCCATCCCTGTCTCTCGTCACTTTTTTTTAAGTTGGAAGTCTATTTTATCTGATATAAGTATGGCTGCCCTTGACTTCCTTTGGGTGCCATTTGCCTATAGAATTGTTTTCCAACCTTTTACTTTCAATCTTTATTTCTCTTTGGAACTTAGATGTGTTCTTGGAGGCAACAGAAAGTTGTATTTGATATCCAACCTGATACTCTTTGTATTTTTACTGGTGAGTTGAGTCCATTGAACTTTAAAGTGATTACTGATATGTGGAAGTATTTTACTGCCATTTTATTCATATTTTTGTGGTTCTTTTTATATCTTTTTTCAGTTCCTTGTGTTTATTCCTCTCTTTAGTCAAATCTTGAATCTCCTTTTAATTTTTCTTGGAGGGTAGGTTTAGTGGTTGCAAATTCCTAAAGATATTGTTTGTCAGGCCTCCCCCAGGGGCTCAGCAGTTGAGTGCTGGGCTGCGAAGCTGCCCACAGCCTCCTCAGCGTCGGTTCAATCCCCAGCCACCGGGTGAGGGTCCCACATGGCGCACAGACCTTTCTGGCCGCCTGCTGCTCCCCTCAGCAGTGTACTTCGTCAGTCTGCCTGTTCTGCTCTCTGCTCTGACTCTGGTGAATTCTCTCACCCTCCCGTGCTTCTGACTGTACCCAGTGCTTGTATAAATAAATAGATAAATAAATCTTTAAAAAAAAAGATATTGTTTGTCTGAGAAGGTCCTTTCTATTACATGTAGGAAGGAGGGCTTTGCAGGATAAAGTATTCTTTGCCAGCACTTTTTTTTCTCTTGAAATATTTTGAATATGCCACTCCATGATCTTCTTGCCTGTAGTGTTTCTTCAGAGAAGTCTGATTTTGCCTAATCAGTTTTCTCTTAGGTTATTTGTTTCTTCTTGTCAGCTTCATTATTGTTCCTTTGTCTTGGACTTTCGGGAGCTTTACTACTTTGTGTCTTGCTGTAGATTTCCTTTTGTTTAGGTAGTTTGGTGTCTTATTAGCATCTTATATTTCTGTGTACATTTTCTTCTTCAAGTTTGGGGAGGTTTCTTTGATAATTTACTTAAATAGTTTTTCAGCTTTCTCTTCTCCTTCCAGAATTCCTTTGACTTATATTTCCTTTTGTCTTGGTGTCAGATACTTCTCAAAGTGTTTTTCTTCATTTTTTTTTCTTTGTGTATCTCTTTTTCTGTCTTGATTCTTTATGTATCTGCATCTTCAAGATTATCGATTCCATTTTCCATTTGATCTCTACTACTTTTGTGACTTGTTCCAGAATTTTTTTGACCTCCGCCTTTGACCTTTTTATATCCTGAAATCCCATTATTTTTTCCTTTAAGCATTCAGTCTCAATCTTCTGTCCTTTGATTATGTTTCTTGTAGCTTCCTTTTCCTTTTCTGAATTGTCTCATGTATCTCTGATCTGTGTTTTCTTTTTATTGTTGCAGTTCTTGATCTAATTTTTGATTTTCTGCTTATGGTAGTTTTGAATTTATCCAACAGGAAGAAAAGCTCTTCCCTATTGATGGGTCCTGGAGATTGATTTTCTTTTTGTGATGTATTGTTCCCTGGAGGACTTGCATGGCCATTTATATTTTTCTTTCTCCCAATTGTTTGCTTACAGGTTTGTTCTGCTGTAGCTGGGTCTTCTGTTGAATGTGGGTGTTCCTCTCCTACTGTTCTGGGCATTTTCCAGGTGATGGAAACAGTAGCTGGGGCCTTCCTCAGAGCAAATCTGGGCATGCAGTGCATTGGTGGTCCTGCCTATCTGAGCAAGCAGCTGGCAGAGTGTCAGGAGAGGTTGGGAGGCCACTGGCCACTCTGGCTTACTTCCTTACATGGGTCAGGGGTCTCACCATCAGTGCAGGTGCTGGGGGATCTCATGAGAGATCACAAGTCCTCTGTACATACTAGAAGAGTCCCAGGCAAGGCCATGAGGCCTCTGCCATTCTGGGCAGGCACTAGTGTGATCTCACAGGAGGTTGGAGAATCGCAAGGCCTCTGCCAGTCTGGGTGGGTGCTAGCAGCGTTTAAGTATTTCTTTATTATTGTGATTTTATCCTGGTAAATCAATGTCTTGATCCTTGTAAATGTGTTGAAATAGACATTTACTTTTCTTTTCAAAAAGATTTATTTATTTATGCATATAAGAACTGGGGTACAGGCCAGAGGTGCTGGGGGGAGGGCGAGAGGATTCACCAGAGACAGCGTGGGGAACAGAACAGGCAGACTAACTGAAATATACTGCTGAGGGGAGCAGCTGGTGAGGCAGGAGAGGTCTGCTGAGCCCTATGGGTTGCTCCCTGGCTGACCAGGGATCAAACACATGGTGCAGAGGCTGCGGATAGCTTCATAGTGCTGTGCTTAACTCCTTACGTCACCAGGGAGGCCTGACATATACTTTTAAACCTAAATATTATTTATGTAAGAGAGCACATGAAAGGTAGTGCCACTATAGGGATTTTAGATGATTTTGTTAATTTTTATGCATTTTTACACTTATACTTCATTTTGAAATAATTGTTGGGTCTATATTCTTTGTCATAGTCTCTGTGTTTATGCCTTGCCTTCACATTTTGTTGAGCCCTGGCTAGAATTCTGAAGTGAACTTGGCTGGGCTATTTAAGCATTCTCAGCCACCACTGACTTCTTTTTAAAACAGTGATGTTAATATTGGTTCTAATATTAACATATTAGAACATTAATTTATTTATAATATTGGTTCTAATTTATTTATGAGACCCTCTCCCCAAATTTTCACCATAGAGATCATTTACATCTGACTCTGGGATTTACTGAAAATTAATCCCCATACTTGCCTCTCCACTCATTATACCCCTTCCTACTATTGATGAGCCTTTTGTCTAAATCTTTTTATGTCTAGATTTGTGGATATATAAACTATGTATGTACTTCAAGAGAAGTAAACAGTGCTTCAAAATATGGATGCTTCTTTAATATATAATTTGTGTGTGTCTGTGTTTGAAAGAAATGCTATCCAATAACCAAATGGCAGGTGCAATTTAAAATAGAGCATCTTGGAATATCTATTTTGGTTAGCTAAAGTGTGTTCCTCATTTCAGAACATGACGAATGCCTCACAAATCAGCACAACTGTGATGAAAATGCTTTATGCTTCAATACCGTGGGAGGACACAACTGTGTTTGCAAGCCAGGCTATACGGGAAATGGAACCACATGCAAAGGTAAACCCTAGATGCTAGCATTTCTGTCCCCAGATAGAATATAATTCATCTCTGCCTTCTCCCACCCCTTCTCATAACTGGCCACTGAGAGCTTTCAAGTAAGGCTCATCCTTGTCTTCTCAGCTTTTGCCATCCTTTTGGGTTGTATCAATGTCTAAGTGTCCAAATTATATGGCTCCTTTGATCTAATGCTCCTTGACCTTGATCACAGTGAATTTCATCTCAGTTCCTCTCTAATAGACCATGCCCATAATCCCATCATATATTTTTTTGTACAGAGCCACTCTACCTTTAAAATCTTAAACTTCAACATTGTATTGTCTAACCACAAGTTCCTCACTATTTTCTCTCCACTAGCATAGATGTGTGTGTGTGTGTGTGTGTGTGTGTATATCACGTATATATGTATGCTCGTTTGCTTCTTAAGGAAATTGTCTAGAATAGTTGTCACATTTTTAGGTTTCATTGTAAGTGGAATTGTTATGATGAGATTCAATCCTAATCTTAATGCATTGCCTGTTATGTGTATAAGGTCACTGGCTTGTTTAAAGAAGCTCAGTACTTCATTTTACACTTGAAACATTTTTTAACATTGGAAGCAATGCTGTTTTATAAATTGTGCTAAAGTTTCTTACCTGGTTGCAAAGTCTTGTAATGAATATGAATTATAACAGCATTTATCATTCAATGTCCACATCTCCAAGAGGGAAGAGTATCTTGAACTACTTACTAATAAAATGCTAAACTTATGTATCTGAATTATTTCAGCATTTTGCAAGGATGGCTGCAGGAATGGAGGCGCTTGTATTGCTGCTAATGTGTGTGCCTGCCCACAAGGCTTTACCGGGCCCAGCTGTGAAACAGGTAAGAATATCACTCTATCTTCTAGAAAATGAATTTTTACGCCAATATATAAAGTAATCCATGAGGAAAATAATGTTTCAAGTTTCAAGTGGGCTGGCAAAGCGTGGAGCTATTAATAAGGAAGTGCTGGGAGGCAGGAGGTGGGAAGTTTCAGTGATGCGTATTCTCTGGGTGTTTCCCTGAAGTCACTTGAGGGAGGGTCTGTGGCTATTACAACTCAAAGCACATTAAACTCCTTCAGACAGGAGAGCCCAGGATGTGATGATTTCACAACACATTTTATTCATCGGGAACCCCTTTTCCCTGGTATGCACCTAGTATAACACATTAGAGTTCAAGCTAATGACCTCTCATTCCTAGGACACACTCTCCTGCATCTACATTTGGGTTTTTTTTTTAATTAAAAAAAATTAAAGATTGATTTATTTATGCACACAAGAGCTGGGGTACAGGCCAGAGGTGTTGGGGGGGGTGGGTGAGAGGATTCACCAGGACAAAGTGGGGAGCAGAACAGGCAGATCGACCAAAGAACACTACTGAGGGGAGCAGTGGGAGAGTCAGGAGAGGTCTGCTGTACCATGTGGGTTGCTCCCTGGCCAGCCTGGAATCAAACTCGTGCTGCAGTGGCTGCGGATACCTTCACAGGTTGCGTCTTAACCCCTTGAGCCACCAGGGAGGCCCCATGTTTGGGAATTTTTAATAAACATTTATCTGACTCAATATTCATTTCTTGTTGTGTACTAGAAGTTTCTACTTTTTAATTGTTCCTCATCCAAGTTCATCTTCAACTTACCCATCTGGATGAATATTAATCCTGGAAATACAGATCAATATTAATGCTGATCTGTGTATGACTTATGACTCAAAGCAAAATGTTTTATAAGTTGAAAATACACCTTTGGAATAATAAAACTGTTTCAAGTACTAGTGCCCAGTTGGAATCATCTCAGCAGTGGTTTTGCATACTTTTGGGAAAGTAGGTTTCATTAGCAGATAACTCCGGAGGTATGGCCATTCTCCTTAAGAGGAAGCTTTGAGTACTTGATGCCTCATATTCATTTCCATAGATCTCTGTGCAGTGGGCTCAGAGTTTGCCCTGTTGCCACTTCACAACCAGAGTGATCTGGCTTAATAAAAACACCCAAGGCCTCCCCTGGTGGTGTAGGCAGTTGAGCACAGCGCTGTGAAGCTGTCAGCAGCCTCTGCAGCGCTAGTTCGATCCCAGCCTGCCGGCGAGGGTCCCACATGGTGCGGCAGACCTCTCCTATCTTGCCCGCTGCTCCCCTCAGCAGTGTATTTCGTCAGTCTGCCTGTGCTGTTCCCTGCTCTGTCTCTGGTGAATCCTCTCACTCTCCCATGCATCTGGCCTATACCCTGGTTCTTGTATAAATAAATAAATAATTTTTTTTTTAAAATAAAAATAATGAAAATAAAAACACCCAGTGGACAAATGAGAGGCAGGACGTGTTCTGGTCTACCTGGAAGGGAAGATTTTTTGTAAATTTTATTATATATATATATATATTTTATATCATTGCTAATTTTTGTACAGTATGTGTTTTCTCCTCTCAGGTGTGGTCCCCGTAAAATTCCCACCACCAAGTCACCCATGCACCATCATCACAGTCCCTTGAGCTCTTTCCTCTCCTGTTTTGATCCTCTACCTCCCCTGCAGAATGTCTAATTCATAGTTGCCTGCTAATTTTATTTATTATTATTGTTTTTTTTTTTCCTGATCCATTATTTGGTTGCCCTAGATTCCTCCTATAAGGGAAATGATCCAATATTTTGCTTTTTTTCTGGCTTACTTCACTGAGCATAATACTGGAAGGGAAGAGCTAACTGAAGAGATCCACTGCGCAGCTAGATGCTCATAAAAGGCCTGGATCACGTGTTAATATTTTTCTACATTATTTTTCAAACTCCAGTGACTGATTTCAAAGATTTCTAATAGAAAATGCATTGTGGCTGTCTTTGATTTGTGAAACTTTTTCTTAAAGGGATACTTCAGGAATTCCCAAGCTCCTTGTGCAGGTGAATCACTTGCTTTTTTTTTTCCCTCCAAATTATGTTTATTGAGACCAAGTTGGTTTACATCATTGTGTCTGTTCTAGGGATTATAGGTTCAAACCTCTACAAATGTGTGCTTTCACCCTCTGGCCTCCACCAGTACCCTAATAACCCTCTACCATGTTCCACTGGGCCACTTTCCTCCCCCACTCCCATCCGCCATCCCAAACCCCTCTGGTTACCTCGGTTTTCCAGTCAGGTCTTAAGAGTTTATTATTGTGGGCCTCCCCAGTGGTGCAGCAGGTTGAGTGTTGCGCTGTGAAGCTGTTCACAGCCTCTGCAGTGCAGGTTCAATCCCCGCCGGCTGGTGAGAATCCCACATGCAGACCTTTCCTGTCGTGCCCGCTGCTCCCCTCAGCAGTGTATTTCTGTTGTCTGCCTGTTTTGCTCCCTTCTCTGTCTCTGGTGAAACCTCTCACCCTCCCACACCTCTGGCCTGTACCCCAGCTCTTGTATAAAAATAAAAATAAATCTTTTTTAAAAAGTTTATTATTGTTTTTAAAGATTTATTTATGCATACAAAAACCGGGGTACAGGCCAGAGGTGCAGGGGGTGAGAAGATTCACCAGAGACAGAGTGGGGGACAGAACAGGCAGATTAACTGAAATATACTGCTGAGGGGAGCAGTGGTTGAGTCAGAAGAAGTCTGCTGCACCATGTGGGTAGCTCCCCGGCCGGGGATTGAACTCTTGCTGCAGTGGCTGCAGACAGGTAGACTGCGTCTTAACCCCTTGCACTACCAGGGAGGCCCTATTATTGGTTTGTTTTTGATCAGCATCTTGTTATGTTTCTCTCTATTCCACGTGTAAGTGAACCATCCAATTTTTATCTTTCTCTTTTGGACTTATCTAACTTACTTAAAACACAGATTTCTGGTAATAAGCTATAAGATTGAATTAAAATTAAAATTAAAATGATGCACCTCAAATGCAATGGTCCCCACTGTTGCCATCCTCTGGTCTCCACATATGGGGGTGCACCATCAACCTCCTGCTTCTCAGCATCTGTGATGACTGTGAGTATAACATTTTATGTTGCTTCTAGTATAATCTAAATATTATTCTTATTCTTATTATTCTTATTCTCACCCCTTCCCTTCTCCCTCTGGATGCCTCAGTCCACCACTGTTTAAGGGCTGGTTTTAAAGTATATTTTTGTCTCTTTGTTTGGTTTTTTTATATTCCATATGTAAATGACACCATCAGTATTTGTCTTCTCCTTCTGGCTTATCTCCCTTTGCCTAAATATTCCGGTTCCATGCATGTCACCACAAACGGCATGAGTTTATCATTTTTGATTACTGAGTAATACTCCACTGTGTATACAGACCACATCTTCTTGATCTACTCATATGTTTTGGGCACTTAGTTTCCATAGCTTAGCTATTGTAAAAAGTGCTGCAATAGACATGTGAATGCAAGTTTCCCATCAAATTTGTGTTTTTTGTATTCTTTGGGTAGATTTCTAGACATGGAATTGATGGGTCATATGACAGGTCATATGGAGTATGGAGACATTTCCATTCTGCTTTCCAGAGTGGCTGGACCAGTCTACATTCCCATTAGCACTGTAAAAGGGTTCCTTTTTCTCTATATTCTCACCAGCACTTGTTGTTTCTGGTTACTTTGATTAGGGCCATTCTCACAGGTGTGAGGGGGTTAGACATTGTGGTTTAGACTTGAATTTTCTGATGATAAGTGATGATGAACATTTTTTCATTTTCCCATTGGCTATATGCATGTCTTCCTTGGAGAAATGCCTATCTAGTTCTATTCCCATTGTTTGATTAGGTTTTTTTTTTTTTTTTTTTTTGTTGAGTTGTCTGAGTTCTTTAAAGATCTTTGATATTAGTCCCTTCTCAGATGAGTGGTGTGGAAATATTTTCTCCTGTTGTGTAGGTGTCACTTCATTTTAGTTATGATTTCTTTCACTGGGCAGAAGCCTTTTATTTTGATATCGTCCCAGTTCTTACGTTCCCTTTTGTTTTCCTTGCTGCTGGCAATGAATACACTGAAGCTATGTCTTGAGTGTTTTGTCTATGTTTTCTTCTATGCATGTTATGCTTTCACATCTTACCTCCAAGTCTTTTGTCAATTTAGAGTTGATTTTTGCACACAGTATGAGATAGTGCAGCTTATTTATTTCTTTTTTATTTTAAATGCATTTTTTTGGCATGAAATAAAGACTATTTCAAAGAGTCTAGTATAAATAATGACCATGTTTAATCCTGCCTATCATTCTTTCGGTATGAAAAAATTATATGATGAGATTATGAAATATGGGGTGGCATAAGATTGATATGAGTAATGTATAATTTAAAACTGGAGGTAAAAATAGCCCAGCAGAACATTTATCTTTCTCTATTGAATTAGCCTTTAACTTTCAGACTACATGAAAACTATCCCAGATTTAACCTAAGCAGTTGTCTGTAGCAGCCAAGGACTTTGAGAAGATTGGATGTAGGGTTAAAATCTAGTTCTACTTTTGTTATGTGGCCTTGGACAAGGTATGTGACTTCCCCATGTCTGTACCCTCTGTATGTCACTTTACTCTTAACAACTCTCATCCAAGATAGGTATTAACTCCATTTTCAAACAAAAATATTGGGTTCAGAGTGATTAATATGTTTTCTAATGTCACAGAATTGGCCAGTAAATACAAAGGTATGTGTACTCCCAAACCCAGGCTTTTTAAGAAGTAACACTGCTTTTTAACATTTTCTTTGAAGTCGCACTAACAGAAGAGAGGTAATGTCCCCACTCCCACTCCAGGGAACTCCTGAAATAGTCCACCACAGAGTAAATATATTTCTTCAAACATCTTGCTTTACCCTAAAAATTCATGTATTTCTATTCTATAATATATGAAATATTTAACTTATTTTGAGTAAAGTTGGCTTTCTAAGGCAGTAGACCATAGTTATCTCTGCC